GTTATCTCACCAGCACAGCCCCTTCTCTGCTTCCTCCTCCTACAGCCACATCCCCATTTCTTCCTCTGGACTGACCATTTTCCGTTTGGTACAGAGGAAGGCATGGCACTCCAGGTTCTCATTGAGCTGGTTCTGGGCAATGTAGGCAAACACTTTATCGTGGATCTTGTCTGCCGTGCAGTAGGATATCCTGAAAGACAGAATGAAATGTCTTGTCTGGGGCACTGCGCGCAAGGGAGATCAACCAACCCCTCCTCTGACCTGCCAGCAAGCGCCTGCCCCAAGCAGGGAAGGCAGAGGGAGCACAGGAACGTCACCAGGCTTCGCTGCTACTCCTTCCCAAAGCAGAGGAGACGATGCCACTGGCTCGAGCACGCTGTGGTGTGAACCATGGGCATGAGAGGCAGGAGAGAAAAGTGTTTCACCTTGTGGGAAAGGACAGGTTAGAGAAGGTAAAGACTCTGCAGTGTGCCAGCCTGGGGCTGCGCCTGACAAACGCTCTGCCTTCAGAAGAGAGACTCGGAAGATTTTCCTTGGAGGGGAAGCCTGCAAGGAGAGAGAAGGACTTGCTCTCAGCCTACGATTTAAACCTGAGGCTCAAATCCAGAGAAAGAGATCAATGCAGGGATGCCCGAGAAAAGCTGTTGGAAGGGCTGAAATTCAGGCTCCGAGATGCGCAGCAGCAGATGCACGGGATGGTCCGAGACACCCCTGAGCACAGGGACATGGGGAAGGAGGCTCAGCCTCCCATCCCCGTCACCTCTCTAAGCCCCTGGGCAGGGCAGGGTGACTCCAAAACGCTGAACAAAGCTCTAGAAGAGCAACACAGGCTGGTCTGTTTGGGGAGACCAGGTTGTGACGGAGGGCTCAGCTCTCTTTGGCATGGGAAGGGGACCCTCAGCATCACCCAGAGCCACCTCTCATGGGTCCATCCACGCCGGGAGCTGCAGGACTGAGCGTCTCGTCTGAAGTCAGCGAGCACAGGTCAGAGCAGCCCCGGAGGTTTAGTGCAAGGCAGCAGCAGGGGCTAGCAGCGAGCAAAGCCTCTTCGCTGGGCACGCAAAGGATCAGACAGGTGTTAAGGAAAGAGAAAACCCAAGGAAAAAGTGGGACACTGCGGTGAAAGTTTTCCCATGGCCCCACGCTGCCCCTTCAGCTCCTTCTCTTGCTGCCCTCCAGAGTTTACAGGGAGAGGACTGGAAGGTCCCAGCTCTCAGCAGATGCTGGGACTTAAAAAAAAGCCACATTCAAAAATCATTTACACTGCGTTAGTTTCTTGTTGCACACGAGGATGCCTCTGCTCAATGGCCTACATTTTGTTTTCCAGAGCTGAGCCGTGATCCAGATTAAAGAGGCACTTGGAAGTTCACTCCTTTCTCCCATTTTTTTTCCCAAAACAGCATGGCCACCCCTTTAATAATCACGACAAAGCTGCAGGTTATCTGCGCATGCACGTGACCCTTCCATCAAGCCCAGTGCTCGGCTCGATATTCGATGGCTGTTAATTTCCAGGGAAAGCATCACTCGCACCCTGAATCGAGCTGGGGCTGTGACCGAGGCCCCTGGCAGCGCCAGCAGCTGTGTTTTAACCCCGACCTGCCCCAGTACGTGATCTGGGACAAGAGCGCGGAGCCAGCATCATCCCAGTGACTCGAAAAGCCAAAGAGAAGACAGTAGAGGTGTTAGAGGGAAGCCCTGGACCGCCACCGGTGCAGCACACTCGCAGAGTGGGGAGATGGTCCCCGCCAAGCACACAGACCCCCGCTCCCACCGCGCCAGCACCTCTGGCGTCACTCCCCATGTCAACAGCTGCCTTCAGTCAACTGAATCGAGAGGATTCATTCGTACATGAGCATTGACCGGGAGGAGAAAAGCTTTATCGACAGCTGTTAAAGCATCTGGGGAGAATTTCAGGCAGCATCTAAAAACCCCGGCCCTAGGGCTCTGCCACACCAGCGCTGTGATCCCTGTTTTGGCGCAGCTGCTTTGCCCAGCTCTGTGCTTGAGCAGCGGGTTTATCTCCCGGGGAGGGCTGGGGCTCAGCACCGGTGGCTGCAGGCGACTGCTTAGTTCGAACTGGAGAAAAGCAAGCGGGTTAGTAGTCTGGTCAGAGAGCGCCCCAACCCAGTGCTCCCCATCCCACATTTAGTGAAGGGGGATGGAGCAGCAGGTGAAGGATAGAAGCAGGGTCTGAGGGACGTAGAGGGAGAAGGGATGGAGGAGATGGAAAGGATTAGATCCAAGCCGAGCTCTGTTCCACCAGGCCTGCGCCTACCTCCAGACTCTTTGGAAGAAATACTTGCTAAAGCCAGAGGAATGGATATGGGACAATCCATCCTCACCCTCCCCACACCGGTACTGGGTCTCAACAGCTGTCCCAGCCCTGCTCCTCATCAGAGTTATTGAAAACGACCCAAGCAGCCAGGGAGGGGAGAGCAGCCCCAGCTCCAGCGCTCGCATCCTCGCCTGCTCAGGGATGCTCTGACCACCCTCCCAATTTCAACTCACCACCACCCTGGTGCTTCTGTTGCCGAAACCAGGCAGTAAAGCCACGTTTGGCCACGGAGCACTCGGCTGCAGATCTGCAGTCCGTGCACACAACACCTCCAGGCTTGCCACGTCCTTCCTCACCCCAACTGGACAGACAGAAATTTACCTTAAACGTAGCAACCACCCTCCTTCCCCCACCTTCACTTTCCATCACAAGGCGATGGCCAGCGAGGCGTCAGCTCAGCCTGGGACGAGACCGGAGCAGACGAGGAGCCTCAGGGCGAGCGCCCGCTGAAGCACATCCCGTAACCCACCTGTATATGGAGATGTTCTCGATCAGCTCGTTCGTTCCGCTGTCGTTTAACACGATCCCTCTGGGCGAGACTTTCAGAGTCACTTTCTGCAGCTTCTTCCCACTTGCTTTTGCCTTTGGAAGGAAAAGAGGGAGGGGAAAGTTACGGGCTTTTAATAGTGATACATCCCAGGGTACGTAAGCAGAGCAGTGACTCTATACGTGCGCTGCCTAACAGGCATATTAATAGCATTCGTTAGTGCGAGAGACTGAATTTACTGCCAGGTGTGAGAAAGCACTTGTTAAAACTTTTCCTTCCCTGAAGCAATGATTTTTGCTGGCATTAACGAGACAAGGACACACGCCGTGCAGAAGCACTTCCAGCCCAGCACCTCCAGGAGAATTTCCCCGCGGCCATCTGCACAAAGCAGCGGCTGCTGTGAGAGCTCCTGGTGAAACCCCGAGGAGTTTTGTCTTCAGCGCCAGCTCCAGAGCAGAAGGGGACACCAGCATGAACGCAGGAGCCGTGCTGGGAGCAGGACGGTGCTGCAGGACATGGGCTCCCAATCAGCCGGCTTCAGGCTGTGCTCAAACCCTGTTCAAGTGGCAAAGCATCCTCCACAGCAAGGTCAGCTTAAAAAATAACTAGGCTTTTAAATGCCACTTTCTCTTATTTACTAATCTCAGGCTTTCAGCCTTCAGGTTACGTTAAGCTCATTGCCCAGCTTCTCTCTGAAAAAATCAAATAAATATCTACATCTAGCTAGTTATGGACTGCAGAGCTGGATCCTCAGCCCTGCTCCCTGGGGACTTCTCTTGAGCCACATCCAGACTGGTGGGCGGTTGGTCCTGCCCCTCCGAGGTTGGCCTCAGCCCTGGGGCTTTTATTTCAAGGCTCCCTTCTCGGTTGATCAGAGCAGACGTGAAGGGCTCTGCCAGCAGCTCCTGTTTCATGCAAGTGCTCCCCTCCCTCCTGTCCAGCTCAGCACATGCCAGGAAAGGCTCCGTCATTACCCAGCACAGTTCGCCACCCCATTGAGTTTTACGACAGTTAACTGCACAATTGGGTCTTTGCCTCATTCAGTTTTATAAGGGCTTAAAGAAGCGCTAATTTTACTTGAAGCCCGGTGAGCAGGGGCTCTGGGGAGGCTCGGTGCTGGAGGATGGCTGAAAATTGCTCCCTCTTGCATCAGAGGTTGCAGAGGAACGGCGGATATATCGGCTGGGAATCGGAGCAAGCTGTCCCGCTCCCTTCTCCTCTTAACCCTCCAAAACCTGGGAAGGAAGACCCAGAACTGCATGCCAGCTCCTGGCCACGCACTGGCGGCACTCCGAACGCTGTCCCTGCCCTGCACGGGGACAGGCAGCCCTGGGGAAGGCCGACTGCACCAGGTCAGAGAGTTCTTCCACACCCAGGGTCACCCAAGCTTATCAAGGGAAGCCACAGCTCAGACGTGCAAGCCCAGCTTTCCACAGCGGCTTTTGAGACTCTTCCCAGTGACAGACGTGTCTGAAGAGCAGGAGACCGAGCTCTGCTCCAGCACAGGCACTCACGGTGGCGACGATCCTTTTGACGGCGGCCGCAGAGAGCTCCTCTCCTTTGGGCTGCTCCACCAGCGTCATGCCCATGTACTTGAGGCTGAAGAGCATCCCCTCCAGCAGCGTCTCGCGGGTATCGGTCCAGTTCTCCGGGAGCTCTAGAGAGACATCAGAGAGGCCCAAAGGTGTAAGGACAGCCCTGTCAAGGGAGGGTTTGGGTACAAGCTGGGAAGGAGATTGGGCAGAGACCTGGCTGTTGGAGGGGGTGACAGCACATTCCAGCCATGCAGCAACTGCAAAGTGCTAACGATGTCCTCGGCAGCCTCCGGAGCCCTCTAAGGCAGCAAAACCAAACTCCCAGAACTTTTTCCATGAGCCCCAGCAGATCTCAGGAGCTCTTTAAGATCCATCAATTCCTCAGTTTACCTTATGAGTGCCCAGGTTCACACCATGACCAAAGGGACTCTGAGCCCCAGCCAGGGACAGGGAAGGGCTCGGTGCCACCCCACGCTCAGCAATCACCTCACCCTGTGCCAACCAGCAGCCACCCGCTGAGGCTAAGATGGGATTTGCCGGTAGCTAAGCCCATGCATGGCTACAGGCACCCAGGTGACGTGCTGTGAGTCGCTAAATTTATCACCAAGACTCCACCGCACAGGTGAAACCTCAGCAAAGAGAGGTCTCTGTTCTCCCCTGGCAATCACCAAGGAGGCCATCAGCCTCTCCCCTGATGTGCTGGGGGAGCTGGAAGGACGATCATAAATACAGAGATATACAGGGACCAGACTGAAAGTCAGGAGTGGATTTTATAGCCTGAAATCACACCGCAGGAGCCAACTTCCAGACACGGAGCCGGCATCCCAGGACCTGCAGCTCTCATGTTTGAGGAAGGTCTTGCTTTGAGCAGACGGCAACAAAACACGGCTCTCCCAAGGTGCCCCCCAGCCCTGGGGGGCCGTGGGGCTCCCAGAGAGGGGATTCTGCTCACCGCAGACAAAACACGTCCCTGAAGGCTTCAGTGCCTTGTATCCAGCGTCTACACAGCGGGGCCAAACTCCACAGCTCCCTGCGAACCTGCAGCACCGTGAGGGCAGGGCTGCACGGATCGGGGGGACGGACGCACCCCTGGGGTAACCCCCGGTGACTCAGCCTCCCGGTGAAGGCAAGACCGGAGATAAACCACGAACCCTGGCACCACTCCTCGCGCTGGGCGTGGAGCAGCGAACCACCTTTTTTAAAGTAGAAGTGACAGACGGTGGGTGGGTGGGTGCGAGTGGTCCCAAGGGGACACAAGGGTTTGCAGGAGGACAGGGGCCCTGCGCTGACACACAGGTCTGAACCCTGGGGAGGCAAAAGGAAAAAAACTAGGAAAAGTGGGACACTGCATTTCCCCTGTGTCCTGGCTACAAGCAGAGGGAACCAGTGAAAAGTCTGGATTTCTCAAAAGCCATGAGTG